AGACAGAATTGCACCCCAACAACCACCCAAAACCCTACCCGTCGTAGGCTCTCCTCTCTACTTCCTATCACTAGTACTCCTCATCATTTTTCTTTCTCCGACAAGACCAACTACTACCCTAGCCACCATGCCACTTCCTCACTAGTACTCCTCATCATTTTTGTCCGACAAGACCAACTACTGTCGTAGCCACCATACAGGTTGATCAAAATCTGATCGGACCTCCTTTATTGACAAGCACACTCGCACCTTCCTCCTTCTCATGCTCTTTTTTCCGATCTCCATTAACCCACCGCCGATATCCTCCCAGAAAACCCAGCCAAAACCACAACCATTTATCTACAGCTTGTGTGTTTTATGTTTCTTGTTTTCTCGATCAATAACATAGTGAAAGGGGTTGGGAAGGTTCGCATGTTTGTGTTTTCAACGAGTTAAAGTCTTCCTTTTCTCTCATCGGTCAGCATGTTTGTGTTTCTCTCTGATTGTGGATAGATTAGGGAAAATAAAAGGAAGGTGGCGTTTATTATTTATTTTTTAATTGAAAATCATAATAAAAACATTAAATTAATTGAAAAAAAATATGACACTAGCATGCAAGATTAAATCAAACACTAAATAATTTAAATTAATTTTTAAAAATAAAAACCAAAGTATTTTGACAATCATTCGAAAAACAATTCTTATAATTTAGTTTGTTATTTTATAATTAAGACATATATAATATTTATTCTATTTTAAAATAACTAATAATTAATTAAAAATAAAATTAATTATTATTTAAAAATAAAAAGTTATGATTAGTTAATCATTAGAGTTTTATTTTAATGTTATACCAAAAAGTTAATGATTGAGAAGGTCAAGTTAAATATACTAAAAAAACTCAGGGTATAAATATACCAACAAATAATGATTGAGAAGGTCAAGTTAAATATACTAAAAAAAAATCGAGGGTCTAGTTGCATGTTGGACACTATAGTCCAAGGGGTTTCTTTAAAAAAATAAAATTAAAAAATTAAAAAATAAATAAATAACCTTAAATTTTAGGAAAAAAAAACCTTCATGTTATATCTTTCATATCAAACCTTTAATAATTATGCTTTTTTTAGTTTTTTATTTAAGATATGTATTGTTTAATATATATGTTTTCTTCTTTTCTTTATATAAAATAAACAAATAATATTATTATTATTATTTTATATTTTTATTTAAATTATTTAAAAAAATATTATTATTTGCGTTACATTTTATTTAAATAAGTTTTACCTTTTTTCGAATACAAAGTCTTTTTGACGTTTTGTTCAAATATATTGTTATTTTTTTATGTTTTTAGTTTATAATATTTAATGATGTTATTTAATATATTTTTCATGTTTGTTTGAATAAAATTTATATTATTTAATTATCCTCCATCTATATGTTAATTTGTAAATGGTATACGGTAAATTTATATCTTATACAAAATTCGGTAAAAGCCGGTTCATATTAAATCCATTATTTCTTTATTAAAAAAAATCTAAATTGCTCTACTCTTTTTTCTCAAATTAACCCACTTTTTTTATATAAGTTTCTCATTTGCATGTTAACAAAAGCAATCCAATATATTCGATCTCCTTGAACTTGCAATCTCATAGTATTAATGGGTTCATAAGATATATATTATTTTTAAGCATATACATCATTTTTACGACTATATGGATGTTTCTTGAAAATGTGGCCAAATTTTAATAAATATTCTTTAAAAAATCTTGTTAACAAAGAATATTTATATTTAAAATAAAAAAAAAAAAAAAAAAAAAAAAAAAAAAAGCTTGACATCATAAATTAAGTAACAATCTAACTTACGTTTTTATGCTCACTAAGTAAAGAAAAAACTAAACTAAATATATATATATATATATATATATATATATATATATATATATATATATATATATATATATATATATATATATATATATATATAGGTTATAGCGTGGATTATAAATATTGTGTGGATGTAGAAATAAATGCGGACCAAAAATTTAAAATACACATTCTAATAGAATATATATTCTTATTGAATACAAATTCAGAGTGAATGAACATTTTGAAAAATAACTATTTTTTGAACCATAAGTTCAAAAATAACAGTCTTTTTAAAGAATAATCATTTGTTATTAATATTATTGAATAATATAAAGTCCAAAAATAAACAAAAAATAATAAATTTTAATGTCACATTCTATAAAAATACAACGTTATTTTTTGAATTTTTGTCGCATTCTATTAGAATACAAGTTTTATAGTGAGTCATTCTTGAAAAAATCTTCATTCTATAAGAATACAATGTCATTCATAAAAGACTTCATTCTCATTCTTGTTTCATGTTGTTATTTTTTGAAATTTTAGTGTGGTGAATCTCAATTGTCATAAAATTGTTTCTTAATTTTCATGGGATAATATCATAAAAAACCTTAAGTTTGGCAGAAAATATCGGTTTTACCTTTCGGCAGATTTTTGGTTCGTTTATACCGCAAACTTGTCATTTTTTTGTCGGTTTTGCCCTTATTACCTGCAATAGCAGGTTTCCAGGTTACTATTAATTATTTATTGCGAAAAAACCCTTAAGTTTACAAATATTTTGCAAAAAAACCCTTAAGATTATAAACATTTTTTTTATAAAAATATAATAAAAAATTTAAACATCATAAATAAATATAAACATTTTAAACATATAAAATATAAATATATTTGTCTAATTTATTATATAAATATATTTATTTTATAAAAAATATGATAGTTTATTATTTCTGAAATACAAACCTTTTAAAAAAATAAAATAATTTTATTTTTCTTTTAAAGAAATTAATTGAATGTAACTAATGTCATATTATTATTAGCTAACAGACGTTTTTAATATTGCTTTGAAAATTATAAGTATTAATTAATAAATATATTTAAATTTTGATAAACCTAGGTATTTTTTAAAATTTAAATATAAAAACTTTGTATCGAACAAATATAAAATTTACCATACATAAAAATAAAAATATGTTTCAGTAGAAAACTATTTAGTTTTATAAAATTTTGAATATATTTTTATATTATTATGTATTTAAACATAGAAAAATACGATACGTTAGTATTTCTGAAATACAAACTTTTTAAACATATAAAATATTTTTATTTACCTTTTAAAAAAATTAATTGAATGTATTTGATGTCATATTATTCATATTAACTATTTTAGCATAATTAATTACTAACTAACAAATGTTTTTTAATTTTGTTTTGAAAAGTTGAAGTATTTATTAAGAAATATATATTCAAATTTTGATAAAACTAGGTAACTTTTTTAAAATTTAAATATAAAAAGTTTATATCAAACCAATATAAAAGTTACCATATGTAAAGCTAAAAATATGTTTTAGTAGAAAACTATTTAGTTTTATCAAATTTTGAATATATATTTATATTTTATATGTTTATAATATTAAGGGTTTTTTTGCAAAATATTTGTAAACTTAAGGGTTTTTTCGCAAAAAATAATTCATAGTAACCTAGAAACCTGTTATTGCAGGTAACAAGGGCAAAACCGACAAAAAAATGACAAGTTTACGGTATAAACGAACCAAAAATCTGCCGAAGGGTAAAACCGACATTTTCTGCCAAACTTAAGGTTTTTTATGACATTATCCCAATTTTCATCTACCATTGTTGTTCTAAACAACTTTGCTATATTTTGAATGGTCTTGAAACAAAACACATATAAATATAAGAAATCATTTTAGAAAATATGACTCTAAGAATACATTCATTTCATGATACATTTGGCAGAATAAATGACATTTTGTCATAATATATTTCTCTGGCATTTCATCAAACACTTTTAGGATACTGTCTAAATCTTCACATTTTCTATAAATCTGACAGAAAATCCAATTCATAAGCATCAAAATCAAATTCACAAGAAGATGCTCCAACAAGGATGAGCATATGGACCGGGGAACCGGCCGGAACCTGTACCGTAACCGGAACCCGATGGAACCGGTCGGGCCAAGACCGGGACGTTATTTTTGTGGATTTTTGGAACCGGTAAAAACCGGAATCGTATGATGCTATTTTTCAAGGACCGGTTCCAACATATGAAGAGATAACAAGAACCGGTAGAACCGGCGGTCCGGTTCGGTTCCTATTTTTCATCAAGTTCGGTTCCCAGGCCGGTTCCAGCTGGATCGGTTCCTTTGCTCATCCCTATGCTCCAACATCATTATGAAAAATAAATATTAAAAGTTGAAACCGTAACAATTAGTAAGTCACAAAGAAAGAAAGAATAAATTTTTGTTTGTTATGTAATGAAATTGATGCCACATATTACAATGACAATGACAAGTTCATTTTTTGGTTCCCTGGTATGTAGTTAATTCAATCAGCCATAAATCAATCTCATTGCTAAGCCAGATCAGAGATTTCTCCATGCAGTCCATCTTCAATATCTAATTTGAAAAACAATGAAGCCTGCAATTGGTTGAAATCACATCACCGGCAACCACAAAACTTCTTCTCCTCGAAGTTGCAAAGCAGATTTTGAAAAGAGTAAGAGGACATCTGATCAATATGTGTTGATTGACTTCCTCACCAAAGATGATTTGGATATACTTAATTAATCTCGTCTTTGTAGCTTGGTACAACTCGCCGGAAAGCAAACCTAGCAACCATTGTTGCTCACCGGTTCTTCCTTGGTGTTACCAACACATTTCATTGCCAATCGAAATTAAACTTGGAGAAGCTCTCATAGGAAAAATACATAACAATTGCGAAGTTCATACACCCTCAATAATGGTTGAAGGCAATGATGACTCAAGGTAGCGATGATCTTGGTTCACTGTTCTGGTCATTGATTTGAGGCTGATAAAGATGATTATGACGGTGATTGTATACCCCAAAATCTAATGGTTGAAGGCGAAGATGACTCAAGGTCGCCTGATGGGGCCGATGGTTGATGGAAACAAGAGAAATACGATTTTATGGGTGTCAATAGAAGAGGCAATAGGGTTTTAAATAAAATGATTTGTCCAAATTAAAAGGATGATTTAATTAATTATTTATTAAAATTAAATAATATTTAACTCTAGATCCACTAAATATTATTTGTTCATCCACATTTAAATCTCTCTCTCAGGCATCAAAAAAATAATAATATAAAACTTTAAGTATAAGGTAATTAAAAATTAATATTATTGCATTAAAATTGATTGATTAGACCTATCCGGAAACGACCAAAGCGGGTTTTTTTAGCATCACCCAAGTTTGATCGTATCAACTTCCTACCCTGTTAGTCTCAGATGGCTATTCCACAACATTTTTTATTTGGTCGTCAAAACTCAAAACCAACCAAATTTCATTTGGATAGACTTTCTTTAACGATTCCAACCAAAACCACATAAAATGATAAAAACAAAGCCATCCACATCCATGTCATGTGCAAAAAAAAAATTAAACCCACCATCTAGACATAAAACAAAAAACCCCAACTCTGGACCACTTCCATTATTACAAAATTCAACAAAATCCATCAAAACACAAACATTCTACAAAACACATAATAAAACTAGAACCATACCTTGATATGAAATATATGAACCATACATGGGGCCCACCTTCACCTAGTTGCTCGCTTGTCGCAACTCGGGTCTCACAAAATCAGCATCAACAGGCACCGATATGTCAATCGTTGGTCTCAACTCAGCACACACCTTGACCGCTTCATGAACCGGATCCTCAAAGAAGTTGCTAATCAGATCCTGGTTAAGCGGGCTCCCATTGTCAACCGCCACCAAAGCCTGCTGGGTCAAAATATAGTCAAACCGTGGGGCCCACTTCCTCGACCCCAACCTTGCAGTTGTCGAACAGTTGTCCACCATAAACGACACACCTCGCGCATGCATAAACGGGTTCAAAGAATCCACAGACTCAATCAAACTTTCATTGATAATCTCAGAGTACGAATGCCCCTTCTTCCTCAACACCTCAATCTGTCATTTTTTTAATCAGTTATCACAATTTTTAATTTTATTAAAAAACATACAACCTTTTTGTAGAATTTTATTTATAAAGATTACCTGTGCCATCATTAGTGCAACATAGACACCTGCTGTGAAGGGATACAACGGACCCAAATCACCCACGGGTCGGCTAGCACGGACCCGTTCACCGACCTTCCACATACGGGTCTGGTCGATTTTCCCCATGGGGAAAGCTGGTAATCCCTCTTTTTCCTAGAAAAAGAAAAGGAAGATTATAAATCCAATACTTTAGGGAAAAGGAAAATGTAAAAGAAAGATTAATAAAAATATAAAATTACATAAAATCGACGTCCAGCTAACACAACACTTCTTATCTCACTGCCACTTGCTACATCTTCATAGCACTCGTATAAAATGTCCATGCAAGGGTAGTATGAGGCACTGTATGCTGTTAAGAATTCTTTTTTGCCTTCTTCTGTTAATGACTCATACACAGCTTTCATTCCCTGTTTAATAAAAAGAATTAAGATTTTGGGAAAGGTTAAGTTACGTGAAAAAGAAACAGACTTTAATCTTTAAGAAAAGGTTATGGGGTAAACCTGAGTTGAGATTGTCTTTGATATGTTCCCAGTGATGCATTCCACTGTATTTTTGTAAGCCAAATCTTCACTCATACCACCTTCTGTATACCTTCTAAACAAAGACTCCACAATACCATGCACAGCACCAAGTAAAATACCTAATATTTTTGAAGAAATTGAAATTTATCAACTATCATTAATGAATATGTAAAGTAAAGACTATGTTATGCAAAAGTTTGAATTTTGAAATGAAGGGCAGACCTCTTTCCCCAAATATGTCACTCTTGTACTCCTGTTCAAGTGTAGTGGCGAATGTAAAAGGAGAACCAAGGGCAACAGACCATGCGAGTGCAACATCAGTGGCTCTTCCATCAACATCCTGATGAACTGCAAAACTGGCATTGATTCCAGCTCCATTGATCTCTTTTCCTTGAACATACAATCTCCTTACTGATGGACCCATGCCTTTGGGGCAAACAGCAACCACGCTTATGTTCTTGGGGAAATCAAGTCCAGCTGATTGAAGATGTCCAAGAAGGAATCCATGGGAAAGTCCAAGGATGCTGTTTGGTTTCATGTGTGAGAAGATTTTCTCATAGTTATCTGCTTGAGCTGAATCGGATATCAAGAGCAGAACCAGGTCACTGCCGGAGATGGTTTCATAAATGTCTCCGAGAGTTCCGTTTTCTTCAGAGAAACCAGCACCACGAGCTTCGTTGAATGAGCTTGAACCCTTTCGTAATCCAATCTGTTTAAGTAAAACCCTAGAATCGTAAGCATCCAGATTATGAAGTAACAGTGGAAGAAGAAAACAAGGTGGGGGAAATCACCTTCACTACAATGTCAGATTTTGCTTCGACAAGGGAATCCCTAAGATTCTGAGCTTGTGCAGGACCCTGCAAAAAAAAGAAAAAAACAGCATCAATTTTAGGCCGTTGACTTTCTATCTGACAAAGAGGGCGGGATATTCTTCATGTCCATAAACCCTAGGGGACTTGGCGCTTTATAGCTTCAACAGGATTTAAGTTTTAATCCGTTCCAAATAATTTGGTACATAAAACTTTAATTGTTCGTGATATATTTATGAAAGAGTCGCTAATCGGAGCGGAACTTTTCATTCACCAATCAAAGCCAGTCTAGTATCCAAAACAACGAATCTGATCAATCGAAGGAATAAGATGACAAACCTGAGAACCCCATCCAATAACCCCAATCTGTTTGATACCTTTAAAGGCATCAGGCAACAAATGGAACAAATCTCTTCCTCCTCTCACGATATACTACAAAAACATTAGAAAAAGCGTTAAAATAAACAGAGGATGCGTAAAAATGGATACATACGCGTATATACAGATAGAGGAAGAAACCTCGTCATAACCAGCAAGGTTAATCTTCTCCTTATTGAAAACAGAGGTTTCAAAATCAAGCAGCGTCGGAGGCTTAGTTATCGCTGGGGCAGAAACCATCCGAGCCCCGAGAGCAGATCCAGAACTGCCATTAGAGCGAGCTTTGAGGGATTTGGATGAAGTTTTGGAAGACAGAAAGCCGACATTAAACCCTAGGGTTTGGGGGGCGAGCTTGAGAGAAGCCGATGCTGCCGACGACGAAGCGGTAGGTGCCAAGGTTGAGAAGGAGGTTGTTGCCGCCGCCGCCATTATCGTGTAATAGACGAGGAGAAACGGCTGAAGAGTAAGCTGGAGCTTTGCTGTAGCCCTACTTATATGCAATGGGGGCTAATATACGCCGCAACGTGCTGTGGGTATAGATTGAAACTTTGAATGGGTTACTACAAGGTAGGTGTGGAAAATATATTTTATTAAAATGCAAGTAGTGTTGAATATGTAATAAAATTTTCATTTGAAAAAAAAAAAAAAAAAAAAAAAAAATATCTATATTCTTTTTAATACATGAAATGGTCTCCATTTTCTTTTTTATCTAGTTCTCAAACTTATCATTTTAAAACTAACATTCCTTCCCGAGTTCATTTTAAGAATAGAAAAAAAAATTGGTGGAAGTGATAGAAAAATAAAAGAAATTGATGTTCTCGAGTTTCGTTAAATGAATGAAATGGAATAATTGTTTTCCTTCCTAACTTTCCTTCCGATTTGGAAATACTTAGAGGGAAATAACAAAATGTTTAATTTTTCTTTCACTTCTCTCCAACTCGGGAACACAAATACGAATTTTGTTTACTTTCTTTTTTCTTCTTTTCTCTTCTCCTATTTTCTTTGCTACAACTCGCGAACAGGACGTAACTAAATTAAGTTGGTTTTGGTGGTCGTTTGTTTCCTTGATGCAAATGACAAAGGTTTCCACTATAGTAGCATTAATATTTTTTAAGAAAAAATCAAACATAAATTAGTATCGAATTTCATCAACATTGATTCTACAATGAAGAAACTGTAATCCATTTCAAAATCTCTTCCTTGTTCTCCACTTAAATACTATTGAAACAACCCAAAACACGACCCAAAAATTTTTGTTTAATAATTACTAAAAACATCATGTCAACATCATAAAATAAACTCGTACGCCAATATCTCAAAACCATAGCCAAGTATTACGAGAAAATTGTATCAAGACTGTATCAAACCATATCTATGACAGCTAAAACAATTCCCAGGATAAACTGAAGTTGTGGTGTGTGCGATGCCATCAACCCAAGCTCTTCCCTTTACTTGCGGCAGTACCTAAAACCAAAACTGAAACTGTAAGCACAACGCTTAGTAAGCTCCCCCAAGCTACCACATATCATACATCAACATATAAACACATATTGGGCCTTGCCCACTGCATCGGACCGAAGTCCGAAAACTGCATCGGATCGAAGTTCGGAACTGACTGAGACCTTGTCCCCTGCATCGGACCGAAGTTCGGAACTAACTGCATCGGACCAAAATCCAGAACTGACTAAGACCTTGTCCCTTGCATCGGACCGAAGTTCGGAACTAACTGCAAATGTCTAACGGCTGCATCTTGCCGTGAGGTCTCTGGTGCTCCGCTTTAACCTTCCTGCAGGTCAGGCATCTTTCCACATACCAGGCCACATCCCGCTTTATGCAGGGCCACCAATAATCGGTTCTAAGATCTCTATACATCTTGGTTGCCCCTGGATGGATGGACTATGGAGAATCGAGACTTATGAGCCTCGTCCATCAGCACTTGTCGTACTCCACCCCAGTACGGCACCCAGACCCTCCCATGAAGGGTTAACAATCCTCGACTATCATAGTCAAAGGAAGCTACTCGTCCCACGATCCTCTCACACTTCTGCCTCTCCTCCTTGAGGCCCTCAGCCTGCGCCTCTTTAATTTGCTCCAACAATGGAGTATCACTGTCATCCTTAAACAAATGTCTCTAGTCGGGGATGCTGCTACCTTGCGGCTCAGGGCGTCGGCCACTACGTTGGCCTTCCCTGGGTGATAAAGGATCGCAAAGTCGTAATCCTTCAGCACATCTAACCATCGCCTCTTTCGAAAAGCATTTTACCATTTCCTTTGTTTGAGTTCAGACACACCCGGAAGCGTGCTCGAATCCCTCAAACCAAGGCTCTGATACCAACTTGAAACAACCCAAAACACGACCCAAAAATTTTTGTTTAATAATTACTAAAAACATCATGTCAACATCATAAAATAAACTCGTACGTCAATATCTCAAAGCCATAGCCAAGTATTACGAGAAAATTGTATCAAGACTATATCAAATCATATCTATGACAGCTAAAACAATTCCCAGGATAAACTGAAGTTGTGGTGTGTGCGATGCCATCAACCCGAGCTCTTCCCTTTACTTGCGGAAGTACCTAAAACCAAAACTGAAACTGTAAGCACAAAGCTTAGTGAGCTCCCTCAAGCTACCACATACTATACATCAACATATAAACACATATTGGGCCTTGCCCACTGCATTGAACCGAAGTCCGGAAATTGCATCGGACCGAAGTACGAAACTAACTGAGACCTTGTCCCCTGCATCGGACCAAAGTCCGGAACTAACTGCATCGGACCAAAGTCCGGAACTGACTGGGACCTTGTCCCCTGCATCGGACCGAAGTCCAAAACTAACTGCATCGAACCGAATTCCGAAAACTATCATAAACATATCATCTATCATGAACACATAAACTGCATACTGCATCGGGCCGTTGCCCATAACACATAACACATAAATCATGCTTGAGCCACGAAGGTATCAAACATACTGACTACTACATCGGACCAAAGTCCAGAAACTATTGCTAGCTAAACGGGCCGGCATTGTGGCCTTAGACCCGTTCCTACTGGAAGGAAACTCACCTCGTACACTGGTTGCTAAATGAACTGCTCTGGAAACCAACTGCTGCTGCTCCGATAGCTCCCCGACTACAAATTCCATAAATACACTCAATCAATTACTGATAATTATACTGAGGGTAAAATGACCATTTTACCCCTGGTTAAAGTCAACCTCCTGGTCAAAGTCAACCTCCAATTGACCGGACTCGTCGAGTCTGAGGAACTACTCGTCGAGTCCAGAAGAGCAGATTCCATACAACTACATTTGAATCTGCTCTATGGTTCCTAACTCGTAGATCTGAAATCTTGGAACCATCTGAACACGTAAAGTTGCTCACTTTACGTGTAACTACGAAGGGATGAAGCCTCCCTACTCAAACACCACTTTGCTCGGGAAAACTCATCTGACTCGCCGAGTTGCTCATACAACTCGTCGAGTTCTAAGGAAAACTTCATCGGACTCGCCGAGTTGTTCTTCCAACTCGTCGAGTCGATGGCTAAATTCATATAACTCGTAGAGTTGTCATGTGTACTCGCCGAGTTCATTCAGCCTTTTTCCATACAGGTCCGATCTAAGCCATGCAGCTGCTACAAATCATGGATCTAGACTTCTAGGGCATGTTTTTCACGTAAAGTTGCTAACTTTACGTGCATGCATGGCTTTAAAGGCTTCATATTACCAAAATAAGCTCTTAATGAGGTTCTAGGCTCAATGGGGGCTTTAATCACAACCACAACCAAAACTTTATACTTCTAGCATGCCATGAGTGTCCAGATCTGAGGTATAACCCAACTACAAGGCCTATTCATAAGGGAATTTGGGGTTTTTGGGGTTTAGGAACCACAATTTAGGAACAACATAGATATATATGATCAATAAGAAAGGTATAGAATTTAATACCAGAAAAGATGGCCAATAGAGTGTGTATTCTGGATCTACTTCCTCTTCCTTGAACTCTCCAACTTTCTCCTTCTCCTTCTTACTCCAAAGATGCCTTCACAAGCAATAAACACACACACACACACAAACTAAGAAACGGCTAGGGTTTGATAAGGAATGCTATGAGGGTGATGGAGGCCGAAATGGGGGCTATAAGGACGTTTAAATAGGTTGCAAACCCTAAGAATTAGGGTCCCCTCCTGATTGGCCTACTCGCTAAGTCCATGCGTGGACTCGCCGAGTAGATCACTTAGAACCCGTACCCAACTCGACATCTACTCGGTGAGTTAAGGCTACAACTCGCCGAGTAGCTCTTCCTAAAAGAGCATTTAATCAAAATAAATACGTACCAGGAACGGGTCATTACAACAATCCACAAGTTTTAAAATTTCTATGACAATAGAGCACCCATAGTCTTGTTGAGGATATAGAAAACTATATTCCATAATTGTAGGTGTTGTTTGATGATGATACGTTGTCACTTTCCCCATAAGTGTGTCTCATCAGCATTATCCACCTCCACTTTGCTTTGTAATAGACTTTTTCATGGTTGAGGAGTGGAAAACGACTAGTAATAATAGATGGAGAACAAAGAGAGTGACAATAATGAGAGGAGAATATAAGAGAAAGCCTTGGCATCTTTATGTCGATGAAGGTGTCAGAAAAATCCATGGGGTGGTGTTTTTTAGGCCGCCTCCCAGCCTAGATGGAATGAGTTTTGGGAGTATAATTAAAAGAGGGGGGTGGTAAGTTCTCGTGTTTTTGTCATATCATTACATAAAGAATACTAGCAAGAAATATGTCCAACAAAGAAAATTATTTAGAAAGTTATAGTTGGGTTGTAAGTCAAGTTAATCCATTTAATATATTCTTTTCTTAATCTACTAAATACCAAAAACAAATGCATTATAATGTTATGAAAAATAATGTAAATATAATGTAGCTAGTAAAACTCTATAACACCCAAACGAACGCTGTAACTCCCCGATTCTCAGGTATTGATTTATGTATGAATCCTTTTGGTTTTTGGGTCTACTCGACGAGTTGGGTGCCCTACTCGTCGTGTAGTAGCGGATTGGTCCGCGTGTTTTAGTGGTCCACTCGCCGAATCCAAGAGCGGACTTGGCGAGTAGGAGTTGGCAGATGAAACCCTAGATTTCGGGGCATTTCACCCTATTTAAAGGATCATTTGCCTCCCCCAGCCTTCCCTTTACTACTTCTTGTCCCTCTAAAACCCTAAATCGAGCGTGTGTGTTCTTTTGGTGTGTTCAAGCTTGGAGGAGGAAACACTTGGGGAAAACAAGCAAGTAGAAGCAAGAACTCGTGGGATTCAAGATCTACATCAGTGAACATTATCTTGAAGGTATTGGACTATTTTCCTTGGCTCATGTTCATAAAAAATCTCTTTTGTATGGGTTTTATGAAAGGCTTATTATGTTTGAGCTAATATGTAATATTATTTAGAAGGATTAATCTTAACCAAGTTGTAGTATATGTCACAAGATTTCCGTGCATATAAAGAACGCCAAAATCCGAGTTATAACGAAGAAGATATGACCTGTCGAAGTTTTGTGATAGAAC